CTTATTAAAGTGTTAACTCCTGTCAATTTTATTTTAAAGTTTTTTGGAGTTTTTTTAAGTTTACGTTTGTCCTTATTCTATCTCTGTCATGAAAATATTTTAATGACTAATTTTGCCAGAACCCTCAACAGGGGATATACGTTTTTAGTTCAAATATATTATATAGCCACAGACCATGATATATGATCATATCGATATGTTGCAAGTGATCAATCAAATATGTGGTTGGATATTCAAATGAATACAAGTGTAAATAAATATTTAAAGATTTTAATTTATTAACTTACTTTAATTCTAAAATTGGGTTTGTTATGCTAAGACATTGTACGAATTCAGCAAACAGTTTCTGCTATGTTTTTGGAGATTTCTGCATTGTGGCTGAGAAGAAAAAAATATCACGCTTGACAAAGAAGAATAATTTTCGTTACTTTGAATGTAAACTTGGCAACCATGGTAAACATGGGGACCTCATGTTGCTTGTAAATTTTTTGAAGTAACTCTTAACGGAGTTGAGTTACTTCAATTCATTCGGAGTGCCCATGATTTAGCGTGAGTCTTCAAATCATGTGACAAACTGCTATTTTTGCATCACGATTGTTGCTAGACTCGAAGTCAGACAGTTATATAAGTCTTGTTAAAAACATGGTAGCCAAATTTCTTCACAGTGTGATAGATAATTTTATATATATATACGACAATAGTTACAATAACTAAGTATATAAATAAAAATTTACATGACAGGAGCAAAAAAGAAGATTATAATTGTCTTGTCACTAAGCCCCGTAATATATACCATACATAGCATAGCTTTTAAAAACCGTGTAAGATAATACAAAATCTTTTAAATATTAATTAAAGAAAGAAAAAAATAAATAAAAATTAAATAAATTTTTTTTATATATATATTTTATCCTCCTTTTCATTTTATTTTTAATTTCTTTTGTTAGATTGAGAATAACTAAATAAAGAAATAAAGAAAAATAAAGAAAAAAATAATGAAATTTTTTTTTTTTTAAATAAATAAAAAAACAAACAAAAAAAAAAAAAAAAAAAAAAGAACAAAAAAAGTATATATATATATATATATATATATATATATATATATAGATAACAAAAACAAAAAGATAAAAAGTGAATGCACATGCACACACACACACACATACACACACACACACACACACACACACACACACACACACACACATACACACACACACACATCCTTCGTAATAAACAAATGATAAAACTAAATCGTGTAAAAGTGTACAATAGAATTTTTTTAAACTTTTTTTTGTATGTGTAAATATAATAACAAATAAGTATATTCATAATTATATAAATCAAATTAAAAGAGTCCTCTTATTTAACGCCTTAGAAGAAATTTAATTCATTGTCGTTTAGTAGAAGAGTTTGCCTAAGTTTTGTTTTAAATTAGTTAAGCGAAGAGAGTGTTTTAAGATCATCATTTAAAAGTGTATTCTATAATTTAGGTTCTCGATTCGTAATTAAGTATTTAGTGGCTGAATAATAGGTTTTGGATTGACTAAAGTTATTTTTTGAGAATCTGGTGCTGTATATATTCAGTTTTTTCGATATGATTCGTTTTTTCAAATAGAGAGTAATATAAAGGCGGTGCCGTTTTTTTTATCAAGTTTAAACATAAATTATTTTGTAGACATTCAGTATATTTAAAGTTTACTAAAAAGTATTTTTGCATGGGAGAGTCGACCTTCATTTGTAATAATCTTAATAGTATGTTTTTGTTTGCAGAGAAGTTTATTTATTTTTGCAACGTTGGTGCTGCACCAAGCAATATTTGCATAGTTTAGGTAACAATGTGTAATTGAAAAGTATATGTATTTCAAACAAGATTGGTTTAAAAACTGTTTAGCTTTATACAGCATACCAATATTTTTTGAAATTTTATTCTCAATTACATTTATATGTTCTTTCCAATTAATATTTTCATCTAGAAATACGCCCAAGAATTTTAACGATATTTCCCTTTTTGCTAAATTATTATTAATAAAAAGATTTGGTAGTTTCAATGGAGTATTTTTTTTATAGAAGCATGATAGAATAATGTGTATTTAGTTTGATTATTGTTTAGGGATAGTTTATAGGATTTAAACAATTGGCTTAATTTATCAATTTTTTTGTTTACTGTTAAAAATAGAATATTAATATCTTCATCGGAGTAAAACAAGTTAGTATCATCGGCAAATAAAATTGAGTTTAAGATATTAGAAAGATTATTTAAACCATTAATATAAACTAGAAACAAGAGGGGTCCTAGTATTGAACCCTGGTTAACACCGCATGTGATAGTCATATTATCCGTTTTTCCAGCTTCGTATGAAATAAATTACTTCCTGTTAAACAAGTAACTTTTAAAACAAGCCAAGTTTGAATTTCTTATACCGTAGATTTCGAGTTAGAATAAAAGAATTATATGATCAACTGTATCAAAGGCTTTGCTTAGATCTCAAAAAACACTTAAATTATACTTTTTTTCATTAAACCCTTTAAATATATGATGTACAAGATATACGATTGCGTGATCAGTAGAATGACCAGATTTAAAACTAAATTGTTTATTGTACAAAATATTATTTTTGCTAAAGAAAGAATAGAGTCTATTATACATAATTCGTTCTAGAATTTTTGAAAAACATGTAAGAATTGAGATCGGCCAATAATTAGTAACGTCAAAAGGATCACCTGATGTTAAAATTAGGACAACTATAGCGAATTAATAAATGTAGGTCTGCTTTTATATTTAACTTTGATTAATAAATTTGGAATCTTCCAATAGTTTTCTGCATGATTGAAATTTATTATCCATTCGTTTATTTTGTTTTTGGTTTATTGACTTTTTCATGTATCTCTAAATTTTGAACTGCAAAAAATCTTGACGTGGTACAAATATTTGATTACATATTTGCAATCAGCGTGAAAGGTTGTGTAAGAAATACGTATTTGCATGTCTGCAGTTTCCGCAAAATAAAAATTTGTAAATAAGAGTATTTTAAAATTAATTTAGTGAAACATTTCAGTGAAATACCTTTACTAGGTACTGCTATTGATGTAAAGACTTGCTTGCACAAATAAAGAAATATGGATTTTAGGTACTCGTACCAAAATGTTGTTTCCAAGAAATTCATAAAGACTTTTAATTTTAAACAGTTAGTCTAAATAACTAATCTATTTCCCATGGCTTGCTAAAAAAAATTCAATTGATATTTCTTAGGGTACTAGATGTAAACCAATTCGAAAAAAAAGTTTCAGATTGGGCTAAGTAAACTCCAAGGCCCAAAGTCACCCCAATTTACGATATATATTGAGCTGTCTTTTGAAAGCTGCAAATATATACATGGTAAAAACAAGACTTATATCATACTCTGCATGATATTTCTTTTAAAAAACAATATTGAGGATATAGTTGTTTAAATTATAATCAAGAAGAAGTTTTTGAAATTAACGAAGAAGTAGAAGATAAGTAAAAGTGTATAAACTTTGAAACTGTAATATATATTTTAATCTTATCAGCTTATAACTTCAACAAGATGTAATATCAGCTAATAACTTCAACAAAAAGCTGTATATCCTCATAAACTCACAGAGTAAATTTATCGCTAGCAATTCTGACATTATTCCCTAGATGACATGCATGAATCAGAAGATTCAAGACAAATGTAAAAAAAAGTTATTTTAGAATTGACGAGATCTGTCGAATTTAAAACAACCCCAAAAAAATTAATAATAATAGACTTGACATCCTAGTAACATCTCAAGAAAGATGTTTCCATGAAAACGTCAGAGATCTTTTCCGTAATAATGGTTCTGACCACGCCTTAGAATAGGAAAGCAAAGTTAAGAAGGTAACAGGGGAGATGAGTGGTTTTACAAAAAATCCAACATGCTTAAACCGTTTTTGTCTTATTGCTTCTATTTGAAATTCTATATTAGGAAATCTTTGGCAAAAAAGAAATAATAACAAATCATGATTTTGCAAACAACACTACTAGCTGATGGGATCTACAAATGAATGAATTTTATACATTTGGCATCAATATCATCGAAAATTGAAAAATTTTAATCGAAATCAAAAATCTCAAATAAAAAACCAGGTAATTTTTAATCTTGAGTCCAAATCTATCTTATCAAAAAATGAATTAGTTTATCATGGAAGGATTGGAGAAGAACTCTATTGTTCTTTTGTTAATGAGAGGTTAAAAGGAGACAAATCTATATAGTTATCAATGAAGAAGCAAAATCTAAAAGCATTTTAAAATCATGCAATAGTTACGAAAGATGACAAAACAAAGAGCAGAACTTGTTATCTCGTATCTTACTTACTTAGTGGAAAAAAACGCCCAGAGCTTGATTGGAAAAAACATCGGTAGCTATAAGTTTTCAGTTGTACTAAAATTAATGTTTACTCAAGTTACTCATCAATTGCTCACATTTTATAATGAAAAAATTCTGTATGAAGTACAAGACTTGTCAAAAAGATTAGAGATTGCAACAGAATCGCTTGGAAGTACATTAACTATCATCATTGATAGCGCGGCCTTGGTCAATTAATTTTATACAAATAACAGTATTTTAACTTGGAAAGCAACACTTATTTATTTTCATAATTAGTATTTTCGTTTGATCTTATTGTATAGATTATTCGCTGTAATAACAGTCTATGTCTAATTGACGAGTTAATTGGCGTCTGCTTACATTTTAGACGAATAGTTACACTGTAAGTTTGTAACTTGATAGTGAGAATATATATATATATATATATATATATATATATATATATATATATATATATATATATATATATATATATATATATATATTATATATATATATATATATATATATATATATATATATATGCTCTGTAGTGCCCAATAACTGTACTGTTTAACCTACTATTTTATATATAAAAATATTTTTTATATAAAATTGTTCTTCGAAGCGTTTAAAAAAAATTTCCAGAATAACTTTCAAAAGTATTTTTTTTTTATGAAATAAATTAAGCAAGCATAACACTTTTTAAATCAATAGCTTTGTTAGTGTAACCGTAATTGCCGTATCCGTGGTAGCCGGGGTAATTATCTCGAATTTTATCACCGTAAGCGTAAATTGCGTAAACTTTTGTATCAAGTGTGGTTATGAAATCCTTAATATCGTTAACTCTAGCTTTTCGACTGTATTTACAAAAAACCCGTTTTTCTTTTTTTGTAACAAGTCGAATACTCAATTCTTTGGAAGGTGTTTTAAAATCAGGTGATCCATTTTTTGAAGCGTTTAAACTTAATAATTGAACAACACCATTATTTTCTACACAAACCTCGCCTTTCATACCAGCCTGAAAATATAAAAAGAAACATAACTAAAATAAGACTCCATAAAAACAACAACAACAATCAAAAGAATTCTGATAAAGTGTAAAATGAATTTTCCTAAAAAAAACTACCATTTTTGCTTTATGAAGTTCCTTTCCCAAAGCAAAAGCAGCCCATTTATGTTTGGAAGAGATAGTTATATCAAAAGAGTCACTGCTTTTTTTGTAAGCATAAGTTATAAAAACATCACAACTGCTAGTTTTACAGTTAGCTGGTAAGCGAAAACACCCCACAGTTTTACCGCAATGTATTTCTGAAATCTAAACAACAAAATTTATATGTATACATACATACATACATACATACATACATACATACATACATACATACATACATACATACATACATACATACATACATACATACATACATACATACATACATACATACATACATACATACATACATACATACATACATACATACATACATACATACATACATACATACATATATAATTAATAAAATAAAGAAAAATTTTAAGTTATTTTGTTTAACATTGTCAACATATGATTTGATCATATAGTCATGATGTGAACTAATCATACTTTTACAATATGAATCAATCATACAATTTCAAACTAAAACAACAACAAAAAATTCTCCTTTAAAGCAAACGGCCATTAAAAATATATATACATACAAATAAACTAATGATAAAGAAACAAAAATTCTAATTAATTAAACTTTGAAGAAAATTAAATTAAAATTAAATTAAAAAAAAAAAAAAAAAAGAAAAACCAAAAAAATATATTACAATACTTCGATTAGAGAGAAAAATTAAAAAAACAAAACTGGAATACCCTAAACTAAATAAAATCCGAAGCTATTAAATAAATTCCACGCCATTAAATATAGAAACTTAATGAGCTGATGCAACGCACTTTTTTAGAAAAGGTTCTTACCCGAAATACCCGAAGCTTACAAGATTCTTTTGATAACAAAAGCTTAATATAACTTAATTTCAAATAAAATTAAAACACTTACTTCGTCGGTACAACGCGTATATTGTATAATGGATATGACAATTACGGCGGCAATGAAACCATTCATAAGCATTTTTAAGAAGTACAAATATCCAGCACTAAATGCATATAAACCAATTAACTTTTTTTTTCGTAATTAATGATATTGCATTGAGTATTTATTATAAATTCAATATAATATTATCAAAAGGATAAATGATTTTAAAAAAACACTAAATTTATTTAAAATCTTTATTTTTAAGTTTAATAAAATCGTGTCGAAAAGAATGTTTGTCACGAATTTATCCAAAAACCTAAAATTTTAGTTTCAAAGGTTTTAATAATGCTTTTGTTTATAATTTGAAATTTAAATGAATATTGTATCAAAATATTATTTAAATTAAAATTTCAACTCAAATATACATTTATATAACAATGGTTGTGGTGCGGCAGGATCTTATAGTAGGTTTTTAGATAATGAATACCGGTTGGCCAAAACATCTAAAAACTTGATAAAACTTTATTTAAGTTTGCGATAGTATAGCGCATATTTTAGCTATGTTTTAGTTAAAAAAAATTAATTTCTTGATAACCCTAAACCACTTTAACTTAAAACTTTTATTCATTGAATAAAGTAAGTTTTGGTTGGCTGATGTAATAAACATTTTATGAGTAAGTAGTATCTAATAAAAAACAAGTCAACAACAACTACAACTTGCTAAAATTAACTATTGACTTTTATTTACTAACCAATCATTTCATGTATCGATTTTGTTATATCAGTTATATCTGATATGTTTTACATAGTATTCCTATCAGTTGTTACTTAAACTAAAAAAGTAGATTTAGGATCATCAGGCTTTGTTTAAATAATTATGTTTATATATGTATATATGAGGAGTCTATTTGCAAAACGCGCATAAATTGATTGTGAGAAAACAACAAAAAACTGAACTACTTCTTGTTGCACATCAACAGAAATTGATACTTTCTTTGTCTATTTTTAGAACAAAAAAACTTTCAATTGGTCTAATATTTAAATAGATGATAGATTTTAGTATATAGAATGTGGAAATAGAGCAAACGCAAATTTTATTTTGCGATTTTTTGCGTTTTACAGATGGGCTCCTCATAAATTAAATTATTTTGATAATTTTAATAATAGTAATGTTTTAAATTCTCTATTATACTTTTAGTGATGCACCATCTTAAAGCAAAATTTTGTACTTCTCAAATTTTGCACGTCTCATAGAGATGAGTCATAAGTTGATTAACTATATTATAGAAAAAATATAAGACATAAAAACTTAGGTCTTATAATTCTTGAGACGACCAATACTTGCTTACTAATATTGTATTTACAATACATGAGGTTTACTTTTGTAAAAAAACTTTCTTCACTTCTGCATTTCTGTTTTACTTGCTTGGCAGATAGAGGCAAAGCTTATTTTAACGAAGGTGAAATCTTTAAGGGGTAATTCATTTGTGAGACAACACATTTGGAATAAAAGATCTACAACCATTTGTGAAAATTGTTAAGTAAATAACAGCAAAAGTCATTGCAGATGTTTTCAAAAGTCTCATTAAAACTGGCTTCAAAGAAAAATGTTTTGCCTAAAACCCAGGTTGGTTAAGTTGGGACTTTAAAAGTCAACTGCATCTCTTTGTAACAAGACTAAAAAAAATGCATTTGCGTAAATTACTTTTACTGAACGTAAAATGACAACTTACGCAAATACAGAAAACTCTCTTAATTCTATATGCAAACAAGAATCATGGGAATTATATTTTAGTTCCTTTTTTATTTATGGTAAATATTCTAACTTACTAACTTATGGTAAGTATTCTAGGTAATAGATATATACAGATATATATAGCAACGCGTTGTAATATAAACTAGTGCATAAATGAACAGTTTGTGGAGAGCAAATTTTTTGCATTAAATTAATTTTTTACATTAAATTGAATGAATTTGTATTACTTATTCCAAACAATTTTGCTTTTAAAAGTTGCATAATGAATACGGTATCAATAACTCAAATACTTCAACAGTCATTGCTTGAGAGGTTTAAAAAAACGTGCTGCCGTTCAGATGTTAAAATTGTCTTCTTCAAAACAATATTTCCAGATGTGAGCAATACGAAGTTATTATGGGAGCTTATATATAAATAAGACAACTTTTTTTTTTTTGTTAATTGATTTTATTCCTATCTCCTAACTGTCTTAGAGATTAAATTAGATTAGAAGCAGCCGTGGTGTAGTGGCTAGAGTTTTTACTGCAGAAGTGGAGGTCCGTGGTTCAAAGCCGGTTTTTCAAAACCTGGCCATACAGACATCATTGATGAAGAAGGTTAAATGCTGTTGCACGGTACTCTGTAAGAAGACCGTGAGAACTTTTTGGAGCTCCTAAACAGCTATTAAAAAAAAAGATATGGGATTAATATTTAAACATAATTCTGATAATTCAGATTCTTAGTATTTTACTAAGAATTATTTTGGATGAGACCAGATAACATTTAAAATAATTTTGAATCTTTTTTTTTATTTAAGAGGTGTCAGTAGCTGCAAAATGTCCATGGATGGAGTTGAAAGGTTTTTTTTGAAAGCTCAGCCAAGACTATTGGTTATTTTTCAAAAAAATTTTAAAAAATGTCTGCCAGCGAATACTAAAAAATTATGAGAAAACTTAATCTCCCGTTGATTTGTTATTGATTTACTATAAAAATTTTCAGACCACAGAGTTACTCGTTGTTATTTTATACAGGAAAGATTCTATGGGTTAATGGAGTTGTGTTTAATACAACAATAAATGTACATAAATCAACTGATCTGCAGATGCAAATAAGCGTTATGTATTGATTCTATAAACAATCTCTTATGCCTATACTTTGTATCTGTTGAATTATGCTCAAGTTTATGTTATAACAATAATATCGGTTTTTATTCTTTAAAATTTGTTTTCTTTTATCTTTTATATAATTTTATTATATTCATGGTAAAAGAAAACAAATATAATTATTATTCATGGTAAAAGAAAACAAATAATATTATATAATATGCGGACTTTTTTTTTAATTATAAACTTTTTCGAATCAGAATGAAAATAATATCTGCGAGAATTTTCACGTTAAATCATCGTTAAAATAATATCTGCGAGAATTTTCACGTTAAATCATCGTTAAAATAATATCTGCGAGAATTTTCACGTTAAATCATCGTTAAACTAAACAAAGTATTCTTTTAAGTAAACAAAAAACGTATACATTACCAATTCTAGTCTTTCTTATTAAAATATTATGCCACACACAAAAACTAAAGTTGCACAAAAATTCGTACTAAATGACTTAATAAAACACAAGTCTTAAATATTATTTGTTATATAACCAACTAATTTTTGATATTAGCAACACTTTGTTGCAATGATGTTGTATATACTAATATCACCACCAATTTTATTTTTATTAAGTGAGCTCTATCTTGAAGGGTATTTTTAATGCCGTTAAATTTCCTTTAAATTTGAAAAACTTTTGCGTTTTTTTTTTATCTTCCTGTAATTTGCATACTTTTAAAATATATTTTATTTCCAGTTATATTTCTATAATTAATTTATGTTAATTGTCTTTAAGGGACATATTTGTTCCGGTTATTTATCTATTTTCATCGCAATCAATATAATTTTTAAAACACTTTTAACGTTAAAAATAATTACTAACTAAATGTATATAAATCTAAACCAAAAAAATTAACAAATTATTTAATTTTTTTTCCTCGTCATATAATTATGAGGGAAACGTTAAATCCAATCCGTCAAAGTGCTGTTTGAACAGTTTTTAAAAATTCTAGACCCGATTACGGCATTTACAATGTGATATAAATATTATCAAATTGATATTAAACGAAAATATTATTAATAATAAGATGATTAATATTAAATATTAAATACAAATGTTATTAAATGTTATTAAAAATCTCTTTTACTTTTTTAGAGTTATTTTATTTTAAAGTACAACTATATTTCCGTTGGAGATTGCACTTTGAAGGATTGGATTTAACGTTTCCCTATTTATGACGCACTATGATAATTATAAATTAAAACATATAAGTTTTAAATTATTCATACACAGAGATTTTGCATTTCTCATAAAAAATTTTTTTACAGTTTTTAAATACTTTTAACTAGTAACCGCTCTTTTTTAAAACTCAAAATTGTTTGATCAGGTTTTTCATATTTTTTATATTTGTAACGAATCAGTTCCGCAACTTCATTCTCTTGCGAGTTATTGGCAAATAAAATTTACCCAGTAAGCACATGAACGTTTTTAAAACGTTTTTTTTAAGTAATAAATAAAACGTTTTTTAAACGTTCGAAATGACAATACCTAAAAAACGTTCTGAAAAAAACGTTTAAAAAACGTTCTTAAAAAACCCAAATTAAACCATAAAAAAACGTCTTTTGAACGTTTAAAAGACGTTTTTTTTCAGAAAATATTCCCAAGTCCATAGGGACTATTATTAAATTGTTTAAAAGAACCTGTTGGTTTAAAAAACAAGAAAAATAAAAAATTTATTTAAAAGTTGTTTTTAAATTTATTTTCTAAAACAATTTATAAACAAATTAATATCGTAACGATGATATCTGTTGGATTTAAGGTACTTTAACACAAGTAGAAGTTGCCAGCTTTAACGAATCAGTAACTATTGCATCAACAATCGATTCTGTTTATGATTAGTGAGCAGTCGATGCACAAACTAAAAGAATAAACTATATATTTACAACAGACAATCTGAATAGCAATAATAGTATTATAGTATAATACTAATATAATAGTATAATAATAATAGCAATAATAATGATAGCAATAATAATACTAATAGTAATAAGTTTTTAAATTACAAATATAAGTTTTAAAAATATATATATAATTTCATAATACGCACATATAAAAAGTAAATTAAATATAAATATATATATATATATATATATATATATATATATATATATATATATATATATATATATATATATATATATATATATATATATATATATATATATATATATACATTCACATTGGAAGTGTGTTCAGTTTGTTGATTCACTCTTTTATAAATAGTTTAAGTAAAGATGATGCGCCATTGTTAGTGCATAGAGTTGTACATGAAAATGATTGTGATCTTTTCTTAAAAGGAAATGCGATGGTATTATAGTGCGACAGTATATGTGTAGCAGTATCAACCTAAGTTTAATTATATAAAAAGGTAATGAAATGAGGCAACATTACCTAAAATGTATTGAGAATGGAACATTAGAGATGTTACCTTTTGTTACTGTGTTATACTGTCATAAAAGGTGTGCCTTTAGTACTACCATTGTTGTGAATGTATCCTATTATTACTGCTGTTTTTGTTTTTATGACTTATTTGAATATTTAAATTCAATCTTTATATATAAATACATTTTTTTTATTCTATTGTTGGTTTGTTTATGTTTGTTATTGTTCATGTTTTTTTTATTGCTGGTATTGTTTATGTATGTTTTAGTTAGTATTTAAAAGTTCATTACTTATTTTATTTTTGTAAGTGTCTTATAGATGTCTAAAGTTATACAATTGGGTAATTTAGGTCAACTAGTGCTTTTTCTTTATTTTTTTACTATGTTTCTTACTGTCATCAGTTATTCATTTTATCAACAAGGGTTATTGATATAAGATATTGTTAATAGGTACACATATTAAAGTCAGTTCTTTATTTACATACATTTGTTGCAGTTGCAGTTAACTATAGCTACTATTACCAAAAGTTAACTATAGCTGTATAAACCAGTTAACTATAGCTACTATTACCAATAGTAGTATTTAAAAATATGGCTATGTAATTTTTAATTATAATCAGATATTTGATCAATTTTTTTATAGAATATTGTGAAAGTATAAACTATTCTGGCATGTTGTTACCATGACTGTTTTAACATTTTTAACACTTATATGATTTAAAAATTCAAATTTTTCTGGCACCTATTTAGAGTTCATTTTGTAAATCAATTTATTGACATATATTGATCAATTTATTAAGTACTCTTCTGGTACAAAAGCAGGTACTTTTATTTTTTTTTTTTTATTCGTTGCGATTTTATGATACTATTTATTTTATACTATATTTCTATACTATATAGGCTTCTAATTCCATGTGGAAATATCGAATTTCTTCCGAAAATGCTTAAGTTTTTACCAAGTTGATATTTTAAAAGAACTTAAAAACCATGTTATTTTAATTTGCTATTTATATTGTGTAAGGATATTTTGATCTTATTTTCAAAATAAAGTTTTAGTGTAGCATGAAGTGTGTCGTTTTTTTAATGTTGTTTTTATTTAAAACATTCACATGGTAAGAAATAGTAAACTAAGTTTAGGTCACATTTTATTATTATTGTGCTATACATACACCACTAAATCGTCAAATAATACCTGTCTAGGTTGTTATTCAACGGTAGTACAGTAGTGGTATAGTGGTAGAGCGCTTGCCTCATAATTGAGAAGTTCCAGGTTCGATCACCATCACGTCCCTGGTACTACCGCGCTTAACTTGTTTCTCCGCGTAGCGGTTTTGTTCGTCAGAGTTGTGAGAGGGTTGTAACCAGAACTAAAGCAGCCTCCACGACTGGGGTGGCTTTTTCGGCCTTGAAAAGGTAAATTAACATACAAAAAAAGGCTTGACACGAATTAATAAATTCTCTTCTTTTTAAGGGATAAAGATAAATAATTTAACGTGAAACATTTTGCTAAAATGCACAGTTAAATTATTTAGGAATATAATAAACTTCCTTGTGAAATAACTTTTTTATTTGATATCATTTATGACCTAAAAAAAAGCTCTTTCTTAAAAATATGTTACTTGTCATACTATACTATTAAGGTATAAATTACGACTAGAATATACGTCGTGAATTATTAAAAGTGGTAAATTATCACTCTAAAAATGCCATAAAAAATAACAATTCGCATGACAAAGTAAATGCTTTTAGTTCGGTTAACGTATGTTTTTTTTTAATTTATTCGTCTGGTTTTTTTTTTTTTTTTTTTTTTTTTTTTTTTTTGTATGTATTTAGGTGCTCCCAGAAGTCCTTACGGTCTTATCATAGAGCACCGCGGGTGAGCATTTAACAGGAAGTTCACGCCTCCTTCAGTACCAATGTCGCTTGTTGGGCTAGAGCTGGCGTCGAACCTGGGACCTCTGGGTTCTGAGCCAGAACTCTAACCACTGCGCCACGGTTCACAAATAATGCCTTAGTTGTTCAATTTGTCTACTTATTTAACGATCTACTTATTTACAGGGTTATTCATTCTTATAGGCGCGTCTATTTATTTTTATATGCGCCTTTATTCATTCTTATATGCGCATTTATTCATTTTTATATGCGCATTTATTCATTCTTATATGCGCATTTATTCATTTTTATATGCGTCTTTATTCATTCTCATATGCGTTTACAAAAGCAATTGTAAAAAAGCAATTTGAACAAAAAAAAAATTATTTAAGCAACTTGTTTTGAAAAAACAGTTTATTTTTTCAAAATAAATTTATCTTATTTCCAGGTAAACGAGATTAAAAATACTTAAAACGAAGACTTCTTACATTTGACGATGGTTTATTTAATTTAGTATTAGTTCTTTGTAATTTTATTATTAAATTTCATGATTGATTAAGTTATTATTTATCTAATTATTCATTTATCTAGATTTAAATTTAATTATTTATAATTATTATTAATATCAATACTTAATAGCTGTAATACTTAATAGCTATACCATGTAATATAATACTTCATGGCCTACTTAAATTACACGGCCTGATTTGTTGCATTTTCCGTTAAAAATTAAGAGGCCAGTTTTTTTACGGCTCAAGTATAAAAACTTAATTTTCGCTATGGTTATGAGTCTTGTTTGCACTATAATTGGTTTATTCTGATTTTATTAAAATGGTTTAATAATAGTTAGATTTTATTTGAGTACTTATATTATTTTGTGCTGGATTTTTTGTTAACTGATTGCCTGCTTCAGTTTATTCCAATTACACAGATTACTGAAATAGGCTTTCAGATAGCTATATCAACACATACCAACATGCTACTAAAAATAACCTTACATGTTGCTAAAACTACCCACAACTCTCCATTGGAAATAATTTTAAAGGTTTGTACTTTTGTATTTATTATAATGGCAGTTATTAGATATAAAAAATCGATTTTTCTTTTAAATATTTACACTGCAAAACAACGTTTTGAAATGTAAATACTCTACTATGCTTGTGTTTTATGCATACAGCAATTACAATGCAACAAAACAGGCCAAGAAATATCAGGCATACCAACTGTTTTGGAGTCAATATCTGTAAATAAAATTCTTAATTTTTCATT